ATCAGAGAAATAAAAATGAAACAAGTACGAGTGTCACTTTTCTTGTTAGACTAGCAAGGATTAGAAAGCAGTGTAATGCCAAGTATTGGTAAGGATGTGGGGAGACAAACTTTTATGCACAGTTAGTGGTGGTGTGGACTGAACTCATTTATATCTGGTGGTGTGGACTGAACTCATTTATCTCCTTAACGATCAGCATTTCCAGTCCAAGTCTGTATGAGGATATTAATGCTTTATTTGCGAGAACAGAGAGTTGGAGGTAATCTCGTGTCCACCCCTGGGGGAGTAGATAAGTAAAGCATGGAGGATATACTCTATGGAGTACTGTGCAGCAGGTAAAAGAGATGGATTGGATATTCTACATAGCAACATGGATAAGCTTGCAAACCAAGTGCTATGCTGAAAATTAAGAAACAGATATCATTTTCCTAAGTTAAAAATATTACAGAAAAAACAAAAATACATATTTTTAACTCATAAAAAAAATGAAATAGAATTACCATATGATCCAGCATTTCCACATCTGGGTGTATACCCAAAAGAATTGAAAGTAGGGTCTTGTAGAGATATTTGTGCACACGTGTTAATAGCAGTATTATTCACAACAGCTAAAACAGAAGCAACTCAAGTGTCCATCAATGGATGCATGGATAAGCAAAATGTGGTATATATATACAATGGAATATTATTCAGCCTTAAAAAGGAAAGAAATTCTGATGTATGCTACAACATGGGTGAACTTTGAGGACATTGTGGTAAGTGCAAGAGCCAGTCACAAAAAGACAAATACTGTATGATTCCACATATGAGGGCCTGGGGGGAGGGAGGAATGGAAAGTTATTGTTTAACAGGTGTGGAGTTTCAGTTTTACAAGATGAAAAGAGTTCTGCATATGAATGGTGGTGATGGTTGCACAACATTATGAATATATTTAATACCACTGAACTGTACAGTTAAAAATGGTTAAGATGGTAAACATTATGTGCTTTTTTTGTAAATTTAAATGTTTTTTAATTTTATAATTTAAAAAATGGGAAAAAAAGAAAAGAAAATGATACCCATTAAAAACCTTAGGGGTCTGGCCCAGTGGTGTAAAGGTTGCGTGATCTGCTTAGGTGGCCTGGGGTTCTCAGGTTCAGACCCCAGGCACGGACCTATGCGCCTCTTATCAAGCCATGCTGTGGCGGCGTCCCATATGCAGGATAAAGGAAGATGGGCACAGATGTTAGCACATGGCCAATCTTCCTCTCCAAAAAAAACCCCCAAAAAACCTTAGAATGGGACTTTTGCTTTTGGTCATTGCATTTTTCCCATTTATCTGTCAACAGACACTTAGGTTGTTTCCATACCTTGGCTATTGTGAATAATGCTGCAATGAACACGAGAGAACAGATATCTCTCTGAGATAATTATTTGGTTTCCTTTGGATACATATGCAGAGTGGGATTGCTGGATCATGTGGTAGTTCTATTTTTAATTTCTTAAACTTCGTACTGTTTCCCATAGTGACTATATCAGTTTACGTTCCCACCAACAGTGCACAAGGGTTCCCTTCTCTCCACATCCTCACCAGTATTTGTATCTCTTGTCTTTTTGATAACAGACATCCTAACAGGTGTGAGGTGGTATCTCATTGTGGCTTTGACTTGTGTTTTCCTGATGATTAGTGATATTGAGCACCTTTTCATATATCTGTTGGCTATTCGTATGTCTTCTTTGGAAAAAAGTCTATTCAAGTCCTTTGCCCATTTTTTAATTGGTTTATTTGTTTATTTGCCATCAAGTTGTATGAGTTCCTTATGTATTTTGGATATTAACCTCTTATGGGATATGTGGTTTGCAAATATTTTCTCCCGTTCCATAGGTTGCCTTTTTGTTTTGTTGATGGTTTCTTTTGCTGTGCAGAGCCTGGACCCTCATGTGCTGAAAAGTAAGGAAGTACTCAAAAAATTCTGGGGAGGCATAGCAAAAGGACATAGGATCTAGCTTGAAGAGGATCCCACTAGATAAATCTGGAACAATTTGTGCATCAAAATAAATAAAGACAATATTAGACTCTATCCCATCAAATAAAAAAGGAATCCATGAGGTCCTGGTGATATCATTAAATAAATGAATAAACACATGAGGAGAAAAGAAGCTTTTATTTTACATTAGAATGCCAACTAGTAATAGTCACTTGTTAATTAATAAGTACAAAATACTTTACAGTGGAGAAACCCGAGTTACAAAGTTTAACATTTTCAGTCCTGGGGCAGGTTGGCACCATGTGCCTCCTGATATGATGCACTGAGAAGAACACAGCATCAATTCTGTGAGGTCCCTGCCCTAGTTGCATAACCTGAATCTAATCATCAGGAAACATCAGGACACCCCAAACAAGGAACCATCTACCAGGTAACTGTAGTGTTCAAATATGTTCGAGTCACCAAAGACAAGAAAAGCCTGAAGAATTGTTCTTGATTGAAGGAAACTAGAAAGGCGTGACAACTAAAACAAGGGATTCTGGATCCTGGGGCCATAAAGGCCATTATTTGCAAAGTAGGCAAAATCGGAAAGAAGGCTGTAGATCGCATGGTGATATTGTGTCAAGGTTAGTTTCCTGTTTTAAAAACATTCTGAAGTACTAAATGGTGATGAGGCATCATATTTGCAACTCGATCTCAAATGGTTCTGGAGAAAAAATGGTATCTATTTTTTATAAATATACATCTATAAAAATTCTATCATCTATCTATCTATTGTCTATCCGTCTGTCTATCTTTTGAGAGAGGGAGGGAGGAAGGGAGAGAATGATGAATTTAAGGTAAATGTGGTAAAATGCTGACAACTGGAGTCTGAATGGGGGATATGGGAGTTCCTTGTGCTATTCTGGCAACCTCTCCATAAGGGGGAAATGGAGAAAACAACAGTAACAGGAGGTTGGGGTGTGACCCCATGCACACAGGAGCAGGGAGAGGAAATAACCGGACAAGGAGGTTGGGAAGAGCTGGAAGTGTCCTGAGTGACTGGGGAGGGGCACTGGCAGGAGTCAGATCTCCTATCTGATGGGGTTGAAGGAAGCTCACTCCACTTTCCTGCTTTATTTCATTTAATCTTCAGAACAGTCCCACAAGGTAGATACTAGTCTTATCCTCACTTTATAGATAGAGAAATTGGAAGCTCGGAGAGTCATCCATTTAACCAACATTTGCCGAGTGCTCAGTATGTGTCAAAAACTTTACTGAGGTTACACAAAAAATGTTAAGTGTGGTTGAATACTAGTGTGTGTGCATTTAGAAAATGATACTGGAAGGAAATGCACTAAAATATTAATATGTTAAGAGAGGCTGTAGTTGGGTATGGGATTACAGGTGCTTCCATTTTCTTCTTTGGGCTTTTTACCCATTTCCAGTTTTCTACAATGAGCATGCATTGCCTTTGTAAGAAGGAAAAAAATAAAATTATTTCAAAAATGGAATCGGAGGACATTTTGAAATATTCCTCGTATTAACATTGTTGTGGATCAAATACTGTTTTTTAATGCAGTTCTATTTTAACAAGGTGGTGGACAAATGTTTCTTAATTCCATTAAGCCTCCTTCTCTCCACACTGCAGAGAGGGTTTGCAAGTGCAGAGCTGACAACCACCTTGACTCTCAAAGCCTCTATTTGTCCACATTTTCTGTGTGGAAGCATAAGCCCCATGCAGGGAGACCTCCTCCTCCCCAGACAGAAGTTTTCCAGACCTTCGTGATACCAGTTTCTTTGCACAAAGACAGCATGTGAACACAGTAGGTCCCTACCTGAAGGGGAGGGCGGCTTGGCAAGAATACAACTCTAGTGTCCAGAAAGAGAGAGGCCAGCCCAATGGTGTCACTGTGTTGTAAGGGGTACACCCATCCACTTAGGGTGCTTTCTGACTAATGGATTCTTTCCTCCCCTTTGCCGCCCTGGCACCGTGGGCTCCATGTCAGCCCCACCCATCCCACCTGGGCTCGAATGGCATCTCTGTGCCTGTTGACCTCACAGAACAGACATCCCACCTGCATCTGTGTCTCCCAGGGCTCAGAGAGCTCACTTTGAATAGAGCAGGTCCTCAGTTACGGTTGCTGGATTGAGTTGATTTGTGTGTGCAATCACAGGAAATGGGTGGAGTAAATTAGGACAACTTCCTGCCTTGGAATTCAGCACAGGCACCAAAACCAATGCTTTGAAATGATTTATTGACCTGGAAAAGTGATCTCAACATACTGCTACTTAAAAACAACAACAGTGAATACAGTTGAAGTCCATCTTTGTCATAATCATAATATGCACAGAAAAAAAACAAACTAAAATGAAATACATCAAAAAATATACAGTAGCTGTCTTCGGGTAGTGGGATTACAGATGACTTTTATATTTTTCCCCCTCTGTGTTTTTAAGCCTTTTTGGAAACCATTTTTGTTACTGGAAAAATGATTTTAAAAGAAATATATGTCTGAGGAAAAAGGGAACAAAGACATAATAAATACGAGGTCCTTCATGAGAGATGAAGTGTTAAAGACATTTAGGGTAAATAAGTTTCTTTGAGTTAAGGGCTCTCTTACCTTCCTACATCCAGACAGAGTCCCTACCCCTCCTGGTAGACATTCTCCTCCCTACCAGCCTCAAACACCGTGAGCTTGCATAACAGGTCATTTTTGCAGTTAGGTCCAATGTGGCAGCCAGAACTCTGATCCAGAAAACCAGAAGGCTTAGATGGAGAACCAGAGGAAGAAAATCAACTCTCTCTCCTTTTGCCTGTTAGTAATCTCTGCAATAAAGCTGTCCGATTTACTGCCACATTACCAGAGTTATAGGGAAGGGAGATGCTAAAAAAATATTCAGAAAGAAAGGAATGGCAAATGGAAATAATGACTCCCTGCTCTCTACAGCTATTTCAAGAAGACCAACATATTAGACATAAGGTCTGTGTCTAGCCCACCACCTGAACTGTGGGACCGCAGCAAATATAAAAATTCTCTCTAAGGGCTTTCGTGGGTCCACTGCCAACAACAGTTCCCCAATCCTGTTTCCCATCAGGTCTCGAGTTCTTCCATCACGAGTTCTCTGTCCTCAGGGTTTCCGAGAGCCTGAACCCAGCAGTGGGGGTGGGGTGGAGGGTGGGCGGATGTGGCTGCTGGCTCCTGATGGGCTCTGGGCTCAGAGTGGAGTCAACTATGGAAGTCACTGTTTCCAAGTTCACTGGTGGTAGGGTAGGGTGGGAGTTGGGGGCATGCTGCAGTGGCTTTGTTTACAAATGTTAATCTTCACGAATTTGGAATCCTGTTTGGGCCCAAGACCTTCACTGGCACCCTTTGTCCCTGTCTTCTGGAATGTCCCATTTTGCTCGTTCATTTCCTTTCCAGCAGGGAGAAGTTCATGGCGAGGACTCAAGCCCCAGAGGTGATTTAGTCTAGAGCACCGTTAAGCTTCCTCAGCCCCAAGTGGTGCAATTCTGTGCTGTGTCAGGTGTCAGAATCTGGGAGAGTCAAACTGCCTCCTCTCTGGCCAGTGTGCCTGGCAGGTCACTGTTGCTGGTCCTGGTTGGCCTGCAGGGGGCTGAGTCAGAACCCAGCAGAGAGTTCATGCTCCCCTGTGGAGGGGGACATGGAGCTGACCCTGTCCAGCCTCTCCACGGAGATGAAGGGGAGCCACTTAGCCAGGTGCACGGCCACAAACCTGTGGAACAACTGGCGCAGGTACTTTCGGAACCTCTCACCAACAAAGACGTAGATCACGGGGTTGATGCAGCAGTGCGTTTGGGCGATCACCTCCGTCACTTGTATGGCCAGGTCCAGCTGTTTGCCCTGCTCACACTCCTGGGTGAAAAAGACATCTTGGAAAGCAAAAACAAACACAGTCAGATTGTAGGGGGTCCAAAAGAGGAAGAAGATGATCATGATGACAAAAATCAGACGGATGGCTTTGGCCTTCTTCTCATTTGGCCGGCGGAGCAGAATCTTTACAATCCCTGTGTAGCAGATGATCATGACTAACAAAGGCAAAACCAGCCCCAAGATGTTCAGCTTCAGAGCCTGGAACTGTTGCCACTGTTTTAGGCTCTCATAAGGGAAATGAAGACTGCAGGTGTAATGAGACAACTCCCACTGGGTCTTGGCAAAGTACAAGGCCGGGATGGAAGCCAAGATGGCCAGGACCCAGGTGATGATGCTGGTGATGATACCAAAGGTGACAGTCCGGGCCCGCAGGGCAAACACAGCATGGACAATGGCCAAGTACCTATCGATGGTCAGCAGGATGATGAAGAAGATCTCGCTGTACAAGCCTATGTAATAAAGCCCTGAGAGCAATTTACACATGCCATCACCGAAAATCCAGTTATCCTTCAGCTGGTAGTCAATCCAGAAGGGCAGCGTGAAGAGGAAGAGCAGGTCAGAAACGGCCAGGTTGAGGAGGTAGATGCTGGTCATGCTTCTGAGCCTCTTGTATTGCATGAGGACCAGGACCACCAGGATGTTGCCGACCAGGCCAATGACAAATACCAGGGAGTACAAGGGGGGCAGCAGCTGGGCCAAGAAGGCCCTCAGTTGTCCCTTTTGGCATGGAGTTGTGTCCCCGTAGTCATATTCTGTGGTCGTATCATAGTCCTTTGGGGTGGTTGAGATTTCCATCCTGGCGTCTCCCACGGGTCAAGGAAATGGTTTCTATGTTTACTTTGCTGTTAAAGGTGGTAGGCTCTGGACAACAAAGACAAGGCAGTGATTATATGTCTTCAACCACTTGAGAACTGTTTACTGAGTGTCTACTGTGTACCATGCCCTAGGATGCGAAGGTGAGCAAGGGAGACCCAGGTCTTCTCTGCCCTTGTGGAACCTATAGTCTAAGAGAGGGTGCAGGCAATAAACAAATGAGTGCACAAATCATTAATTCAATTGCTTTGGCAATAAGCGTTGTGAAGGGAAAGTCCAGTGGGTGGAGAGTACAGACAAAGGGAGATCTCACCACACTTTCATAATCACTGCTTCCCAAGTGTGTCCCATGGACTTGGCATTGGACTTGGTGTTAAATAACCCTTGGGGGGGTGCCATTATTGTTGCCCACTTTAGAGGTGATGACACAGAAGTTTGGAATGGTTAGGACACATATCTGGTGAGAATGAGAGCTGGAGCTCAAACCCAGGCACGTAGCACTCTCATGCCCATTCCTGAAGCCACTCGGCTTTCCTGCCGCCAATCACAGAGCAATGACTTTGCACTGTGGAGTCCATAGAAGGACGCTGGGAAGGAAAATAGTTCTGGCTGAGAATCAAAAACTTACAAATAGATCTTCATGGCTTTTGGAGCTAAAAAGATTCTCAGCCAGGGGTGACATTTTCTTTTTGGTTGTCACACAGACTGGGGGATGCTACTGTCGTTTGATAGACAGGGCCAAGGATGTGCAAAAATTATCCTACCCCAAACATCAGTAGTGCTCCCATAGTGAAGTCCTAGAAGGCCAACCCCATCCCTTAGTAGATGAGGACACTGAGGGTACCAGAGTGGGCTTAGCCTGGCCCGCATCACACGGCCCTGAGGCAGCACAGGCAGGTCCACTGGTAACTCTGTAGACCTCCTGTGAGAGCCACGAGGAGGATTCAGAGGAAAGTACAGGCCGGGTGGAGTGGGGTGACCTGGCGAGAAGAACTGGGGAGTCGGAGGAGGAATAGCACAGAACGCCTTGAGCCGTGAGGTGTTGCTGAGTGACCAGGTGGTAGCTGGAATTCTGCTGAAATAAGCTCCCAGGTATTTTTACCTAGGGTTGCCTTGAAACAAACAAAAAAGAACCACTGGATAGCTTGCCTTTGTAGGACTTCCCCCACCCCCTGACTTTGAGCACCCCTTTTCAATCCTTTCCAATCACTTATTGAAGACATCTCCCAAAGATAGCATGGGCTTTGGTGTAACCTACCAGCTGTGAACTTGGACAAGTTAATCTACCTCTCTGAGCCTCAGTTCCTCATCTGTAACGTGGGAAAGTAACCCTTACCCTGTAGGGCTACTGTAAGATAATGTATGAGAAAAGTGACCCCCTAGCTCTTACCAGGCCCTTAGTAAATATTAGGGTACCTCCTTCCCTGAAGTGGTCCTTCTCTGAGGCCTGTCACCACCAGGAATGTCCCAGATTCCAATCCTATTCTGACTAACGTACCCTGCTCCCCAAGTCCCCCCACCAGGTCTCTCTGTAGTTAATATGAAAAATGAATTCTGTTTGACAATCATAGACAACAACAGTCCCTCCCATGTGAACTGCATTTTGAAATTTTCAATATATTGCCACCAATCTGGATTGACTTGACCTAAACATCAATCAGTGAAGTAGGTGGTACCTGCGTCATAATTCTCATCTTGAATCTGGAGTCTCTAGCGCTCTTCCTTCTGCACTGCTTAATGACTGTCTCCTGCTTACAAAATTCGCGTTTCTGAACTGGCTATTGGAAATTCAGGCACGTGAGGAGTGTCAGGCACCCCGGCTGGGGGGCTGTTATTTCCCATCAAACCCATCCCTATAGCTCACTCCTCCATCTCTGGACTTGCCTCTATCCCATCAGCCCCCTTTCTGGAGAAATCCTGGCCGGCGGTCACTAACCAAGCTGCGTTGGCAATTTCTGATTTCTGCTGCCACTGCCAGTGCTGACCGCTCGGCTTGGCAGTCGGCACTTTTGGGTGAGCCGGCAGGCTGACAGTGGAAGCAATAAGCAGCTAGGAAACACAAAGAGCAAGTGTTGCAAAACTGAGCCCACGAGTCAAGGTTCTGGGGAATTTTGGCAAAGATGAGGGCAAACTGAGTCAGCATTGTCAGGTACCATTTGAACAGAGAGTCACCTCTGTACCCCCCAGCCTCCAACTCCATTCACTATTTTCCCAATTTGTCAGCCACAATGCAACAACTCCAGGGTATGCTGTTCCTAAAGGGAGATGGCCTGGGGTGGGGCCTTGGAGGAGAGACCAAAGGATCATGTTGCCCTCCAGTCTGCCAGCCCTGCTGTAGTCTGCGGCAAGAGTCTGCCCCAAGGTCATCGCAGAGTGATCAGCTGTAGCCCTGCAGCCTGGAATCTTCCAGTACCAGCATCATTTGGCCTGGGATTTGATCTCTGAGCAGAGAAAGGGCTGTCTATGATGGTAAAAGACCCCCAGGCCTGGTGGAGGGCTGAAGCTGGCTTACGCTGGTTCATCAGAGCTAATAGTGTGCATTTCTTCCCATCTGCACATTCAGCATGTTGGTAGCTCAAAATCAATCATAGTGGGAATATTTACACACGGAAATTGGCAAATATTAGAAATCGGGGCTCTTTTTTCAAGAGAACCAGTTAAACATTTACCAGTACGTCAATGCCCAGCAGTCTGAATCGCCTAGAGCTGTTCTGCTAGTCAGAGTGGGGACTAAAGTGTTAGTGAGTGGCACACAGGCTGTGCAAACTTCTCAGAGTTTCTAACTCTGAAAACCTGGGACCCTCCAGATTTTATGGAGGAACAGTAGCCCCCATGCCCCTTTATCTTCAGAACAAAATTCTGTTAGTAGAAGAGAATGGATGCATCCCAAGAGGTCATCTGGCCAGTTCCCAGCCTTCAGGTGGGTGAAATTCTACCTCCTCCAAAGATAGCCCACAGTCCTGATTTTGAGGATCCTTGGTTCCAGTTTTTCTAAAAAAATGGTTCAATATCAAATCATCCTTGCATTTGCAAAGTTTTTTCTAATTAGTATTTCCCTTTTGCTATGATTTCTTCATATACCATGTTTGGTGTTCATTTACATGGGGAAATTTGTCAAGTAATTTCCTCTTGAATAGCCTTCCACAGCAAGTGCCTCTTGTCCCTTAACACTGGGCTTACTTTCTTAATCAGTCACCAACAACCAATCATTCAAGAAAGCTCCCTTGTTTTTTCAGCAAAAACCTCTCATTTTACATCTGAGTACACAGCCTTATGAATCCACCCATTCTCAGTATCGCTATACACTTAATTGCCTTACAGATGCATCAATGAGCTACTTAGACATTGGCCTGGGCCTCGAAGAATTCCCACCTTTAAGGAGACACACAGGTAGACAAATAATGCCCTGCACTGGAGAAGAACTACAGTCTTCCCTAGCTGCAAGTGTGCCCTCAACAGTAACTGACAAGACAGAAAAGACAAGTGCCACTTACTCTGGTTTCAAGGGATTTTGTCCACGAAGTCTTTGTTTGTGGAGATTTTAGAGTCTTTATGAATTCAAAGCTCAAAATCCTGAGTGAGTAGGAAGTACTCACTTCCTGTGATGATGAAGATAGGTCTCCAGGGTTCTCAGTTTTTCAGAATGACAAGGAGGGGACGGAGTTCTTCTTTTTGTATGATTGGATGTCCATGAATTGCCACAACACCCACCAATGGCCAATTCCTGGAGGCCAAGTTCATGCTAAGGGTCTTCTCTGATCACTTGGCTGGACTTCTCCCTTAAGGGGGTTGGGTAGGGCAGGGTTGGGTGGAGCTGAGTGCGGGGAGGTGCATGACAATGAGGTCATTGTTCTTCACAACCCAGAACTTGTGAAGCAATCAATTGAAGGCTGGAAATGCATGTGAGGGTGGGGTGGGGGCAGGGCGTAGAGTTCCTGTGATCAGTGAGTAGCCTTTTTTTTTTTTTGAAATTGCAAATGGAAGGATTTAAACCAGAACCTTGTGTCCTGTTCCTCTAAAGGATCTGGCTGGTATGGTCTGAGAGACGTGGCAGCTTCTTTTTGGCGCCCGCTATGTCCTCCACCTCTGACTGCTCACTGTCCCTCTCTCTGCTCCCCAGTGTCCATCCTCCCAAACCCCGCAGAGCAGTTTTACCTTGAGGAACCTCCAGCCTGGAGTGAATACAGTCCTGTTGGTTGGGTTTCAGCCATCCCTTTCTTATCCCTGGCTCCTGTTTTATGCAATGGTCCAACACAGGCCAAGTTCAAATCCCAGCTCTCCACTTGAGACATGGGTGGATCACGACTCCTTTCTAAGTCTGGTTCCCACTCGGTCAAATGAGAACACTGACTACTTAGGCTCATAGGAGGATGCACGAGGTCAGCTTGTTATGTGAAAAATGTCACTAGTGCCTGGCACAAGGAAAAATGTCTGATGAATGATTCTTACTTTGATTCTCCCCACAGCTACGAACACCCACTCTGCCACCGTGTTTGTGTCCCTCTGTTTCCATTTCCTTTTCTGTAAAATGAGGACTCTGCTAACCTTCCTCACAGGATTGCTGCAAAGCGTTATTTCAGAAATCATAAGTGTGAACGTGCTTTGAAAATGTCACATGTCTCTTCCAGGCTCAGTTTCCTCATCTGTAAAATGAAGACTTTAGATGAGGTGCCTCAGTGTCCCCTTCAGTGGAACGTTCCATGAAATCTTCTGTGGTTGGATCTAGCCTCTTTGGCAGCCTGCCCATGGAGAGATGATGGAAGAAGGCGGCAAAAGGTAACTAGACAGACAGACAGCTGTGGGCCTAGGAACCTGCCGCCTTTGTGCAGAGAGCAGGGTGTAAGGGGAGCACCAGTGATGAGCCTGGCAAATCAGACAGTCCTGCATTCAGATCCTCCATCTACCTTTTACTGACTTAGAGCATGTTATTTAAACTCTTGACTGTCTCTTTCCTCTTCTGCAAAATGAGTTTAATAATGCCTCCTTTATAAAGAGGATTAAATGAAGATTATATATGTACATACCAATGAAGGATTAGGGAGATGCCTGGGACATTAAAGATGCCTGTCTTAACTTGGGATCTCCCTCCCAGAGGCAACCTGCAACAAGGATGCAGTGGTGTACTTGCAGGGGATCCCAGGAAATGCTGCAGGGGAGGGGAGAGTGGGACA